GCAAAGTTATTTGGGTACTACCAAGTCTTATTTTTCTCATCTATTAGGCAAAAAGTAACAATATCTGCCGCACAGAAGAAACTATAAGAGGTAACTTCTCTTAAGAGCTACCACAGTGCCTGGGACACAGCAGGCACTCAACAAATTACATCACTAATCACTCCACATCTTCCCTACCAGCCCGCAAGTGCCTCGGGATGTTCTGCCCCTTTGGGTTCCGGTGCCTAACTCGGTCCTTGAGCAAACACTCCCTGCCTTCAATCAGAACTCCCCAGCACCTTCCGAGTTCACTTACAACAACAAACCCCCAAGAGCAAGGGAGCGAGCCGGCGATGCAGCGACCACGCGTCACCCAAGATAACCACCTACTGTTAAGCCGGTGTGCCAGGATGTCAAGCCGGCTCCTCGTCACTTTTCAGTCTAGAGGTCCCACGGCTGCGGCTCTCCCGCAGGGCAGCCACGGTCCACGGGGCCCAGAGCGCACCACTCCGCGTCCCACCGGCGCCGGTCCGGCCGCTGCCGGCGGGGGCAGCCGGGTCCGCCTCTCCCAGAGCGCCGTCCGCGCCGCCACGGCCGGCACAGGACCGACCCTCGGGAACGGGCCGGGGGAGCCACCACCCCAAACAAAAGAACGCCAACTCCCCGGCCGCGGGGCCGGGCCGCGGCTGCTGGGAAATAAACTTGAGGCGCGGGCGCCCCCCGCGCGAGCGCCCCGCCGGTGGCTGCGGGCGGCAGCGCTTTGTCCGCCGAGAGGCGCGCCGGGACCGCCAACTTTTCCGTAAAGATGGTGCCACGCTCTCGCACCGAGTGAAAGGTCACGGTGAGGGCCAGCGGGCGCAGGGCCGGCCTCGCCTCCACGGCGCCCAAGTTGGCCGGCCCCACTTTCCCTTTTGTCCCCGCCGCCCTGCCCGCCCGGCCAGGCCAGCGCGCGGCAGCTGCGCTCGCGAGCGGGAGGAGCGGGACCGCGGCCACCCGCCGCCGCCTCCGCCGCCGCCGGGGCCCGCCGCGCACAAAGCGCGCCGGCGGAGCGCGGGCCGGACGCCGGGGCCTCGGCGCGGCCTGACCTGAGGCAGCGGCGGGGGCGCGCGTCCCCGCCCGGCCCGCCACCTAGCCGGCTCCCCGCCCCCGCGCCGCGGCCGCCGCCGCCACCGCTGCCGCCGCCGGCCAACCCCCTGCCGCCCCGCCGGCCCTGCGCCTCACCTCGGCATCGGCGGCCGCCATGGCCCGGGCCCGCAGCGTGGCCCCGCCCCTCCCGCGCGCCATCGCCCCGCCCGCGCCTCGCGGCCCAGGGCCGGGGCGGGGCTGGCTGCCCGCGTCTGCGCCTGCGCGCGCGCTCGCGCCGGCGCGCCGGTGTCGGAGGTGAGGGGCGCCTGCGCGCCTAGGCGGGACCTTGGAGGCGCCTGCGCGTTGGAGCGGGGCCGGGCGGCGCCTGCGCGCTAGCGCCCGGCTTCAACGTCCCGGGCTAGCTGGGCGCTTGGGAGTATCCTGGAGCGGAGAAGCTGCACAGCTGAGTATATAGTGGCTGCCTGGAATCCTTTCATCGCCAGTCTCGGATTTGGCTACCTTCTCTTTCAGTTACTCCAGTCAGCCGCCTTGGAAAATTCAGTATTGAATTTCCTAGGCTTTTTTTGTTTCGTTTTTAACCGAGGGTTGAGCCCAGGGGTGCTTAACCCTCAAGCCATATCCCCAGCCATTTTTTTATTATTATTTTTATTTAATCCCAAAGAGCTGGGATTATGGGTGGGCACCATTGTGCCCAACTAAAGGACGATTATAGAATGCGATCCTTGGATGGAACTGGGTATTAAAGTCACTCATATTTTCACCAAATTACTAGTTTCTGCCGCAACTTTTTGTTGTTGTTAAAAAGAAAGTCAAAATAAAAGGGTCTCCCTAATTTGCTGAGGCTGGCTTTGAATTTGAGATCCTCCTGCCTCAGCCGCCCGATCGCTGGGATGACAGGCGTGGCCACCGGGTTGACTGGTCCCTAGGCTTTCAATCGCGCTGCGTTTGGATAGCTGTCTCCCCTTTGCGCAGCGTATCCGCGCTGCAGGCGCTGCCCGCTGTGCCCCCGTGGCCGCTCAGGCGGCCGCCAGCTGTGGGCATCGAGAGCTTGCGCGCTGCCCAGCACCTTTAATTTTCTTGGTAATGGCCCCTGAGCGCCGGAGAGGGGATGCCGCGATTCGGAAATGCCAAAGAGAGGCTGCACAATGCTTCCTTTAAGTGAAAAAGAAAGTTAGTTCTCGACTTCATAAAAGAAACCGGATGCTGAGGTTGATAAGATCCTCCTAGGAAAGGAAGATCTCCCATCCGTGCAATTATGAAAGAAAAAGAAATCTGCTAGCTTCCCTGTCGCACCTCGCACTGGAGCAATAGGATTACAGTGCCTGTGAGCGCTGCTTTGAGGTGCACAAGGTATTAAATTTGTGGGTAGACAATGAACAGAAACGTGTTGCAATTAGTGGCAGCGTCCAAAAGGCATTGAGCCTAAAACAAGACTTCCCCAAGGGAGCCCTTGAAATAGAGGGCACCAAGCCATTTACTTCAAGGGATGATTACACAGACTGAAGAATAGGTTTGGATTGCAAAACAAAAACTTCTAGCGGTGAAGAAGCTGCTGCCCTATTTCCAGTAGAATTGAAGGCATTGACTAAGGAAAAAGTTCTTAAGGAAGAACTTGAGTCATCGGCAGAAGACACTGAAAGAGAAGTGGGGACAATGCCAAAATTTGCTGAAGTGTTTCAAATTGAACAGACTATTGTATTTATTTATTTGTTTGTTTTAGTTGTTGATGGACCTTCATTTTATTTGATTATTTAGATGTGGTGCTGGGAATTGAACTCAGTGCCCCACATGTACCAGGCAAGCACTCTACCCCTGAGCTACAACTCCAGCCCCAGAAATATTTTTTTTAAACTGGGGTTTGAGCCCAGGGCCCGAAATGCTAGATAAGTGTTCAACCATTGAGCTACATCCCCAGCCCTTTTTTGAGAGAGGTTCTCACTGATTGCCACAACTGGCCTTAAATTTGGATCCTCCTGCTTCAGCCTTCGGAATACAGTCCTTGGATGGAACTCAGTAATAAATTCACCTATATGATCACCAAATGACTAGTCTCTACAGCAAATTTTTGTTGTTGTTGTTGAAAAGACAAAATTACTTCCAATTTCTGTTATTACAAAAAGTTGGGGGGCAGGGGGAGAACTACACCAGACAAATGATGCAGGCTTGTCATCTCACCAATTTGGGAGGCTGAAGCAGGAGGATCACAAGTTCAAGGACAGAATGGGCAACTTAGCCAGACCCTACCTCAAACAAAATAAGGGCTAGAGCTGGAGCTCAGAGGTAGAGCACTTGCCTACCTGCATGAGGCCCTGGGCTCCATTTCCACCACCCCAACATCACAAAAAGAAAACATTATCTGCGACATCCAACCACCCATACCATGATGGCTCAAAGGTCTAGGATCACCCAAAGCAAGTGATCTCTCCTACAGCATGATCAGGTCAGTAGTAGCCCATTGCTACATCACCTACACCATTCACCTTACTTCCTCCCATCACATAGGCACTTACAGAAGGGTGAATACAGAACAATAAGATGGCTGAGAGATCAGTCATGCAATTTTTATTACAGTACATTATATAATTCTTCTATTTTGCGGGGTGGGGGGTGTACCAGGAATTGAATCCAGGGGCGCTTAACCACTGAGCCACATCCCCAGCCATATATATATATACATATATTATTTTTTTTGAAGACGGTCTTGCTGAGTTGCTTAGGGCCTCACTAAATTGCTGAGGCTGGCTTTAAACTCATGGTCCTCCTGCCTCAGCCTCCCAAGCTACTGAGATTACAGGCATGGGCCACTATACCCAACTAATTATTTTGTTACTAATGTCAGTCTATTCCTATACAGAATTCATTGGTTAAATTTTATTGTATGTGTAAGGAAAATCATTGTATGTACAGGTTTCAGTACCACATGTGATTTCAGTCATCCACAGAGTGTTGTAGAACACACCCCTGCAGATGAGAAGGACTGTAAATTGGTGTTCTGGTGGGCAGGCCTAGGGTGAAGAACTCAAGGCTCAACTCTTAACCTCTAAAGCCAGATACATTTTGATTTCCTGAGCTTTCACAAAGGCAGTCATCCTGAGTTGCTTTGTAGGGGGGTGCCCCAATTGGGGGTCTGCAGCAGAGGGGTGATGTGCTTATGGGGTGTGCCTGGCATGGAGGAAGGTGCTCTGGTTAGAGGAGGGACCCTACTTGGGCAAGGTCCCAGGTTCCTGGTAGGGAGGAATGCTCCAGCTGCTAGGAGGGATTCCAGCTAGGGGAATGTCCCAACTCCACATGTATTCTGATTGGGAGGATGTCCTAAGGATTGAGAAACTGCACAGAGGGGATTTCCCCTCTAGGGAGATGATCCAGCTGGCAGAGGTGTCCTGAATGGGAAGGGGGTATTCCAGTATGGAGGAGTGCCCTGGTTGGGAGGTGTCCCAGTTAGGGGGTAGCTCTGGTTAAGAATGGGTGCTGTGGCTGGGAGTGATGTCACACTGGAAGGGTTGATGGACTGGGGTTTCTCAGATGAGATGCTGCCCCTGGCTATCCCCAGGCACATACTTGCTATGCACAGGGCAAGGACTTTCTTGCACACCAAGCACCCTTCGCTGGACAATGTACTTAGAGCCTCATAAAGCCTTTTAGACTACCTGCTTCCTGTGGCCAAATCTGTCTCTTTTGTCCCTGAGACTTGAGAAAAGCATACAGAAAAACTGATGTTCTCACTGCCAAGAACTAAGGACACTCTGAGTCTTGATAGTCATAGACTCAGTCTCATGAGGAAAAAATAGAAAAATGACTCTGCTACATCTGCATTGTCAGTGTACACAGATAAAGAGGAATGGACAGCCCTAAGTGCCATTCCAGTTTTCTTTAGGGCGATTCAACTGTTCTGTCAAAGCCCCTGAGCCCCCAACCCACCCTCCCTGTATCCCACTCCATCTCCACTCCTGCCTTAGGACCTCCTCTGACCCCTCCAGGAAACTTTTATCTCTAGTATACGAAGGGTTCACTTTGCAGTGTACCTCTAGTTAACAATGAGATCGCCCAGCCCTTTGCTTTATCTGGCTCTGTATCCTGCATGTCACATGACAACCCTGTACTCTTACTGGGCATGTTATCTGTCTTATCCTAGGATGGCACTGTTTTGTGTGCTCAGAATAATACAAGAGACAGTTAGTTGTTAGATGAACATATGCAGTTAAAATGTGGGGGAAACCCCTTACCATGCAAATGTGACCACAAATGCATGTGACAAGTAGGCTATAGGCAGGCCTCCCACTCCAATTTTGTAGACCTGCCTTCCTTTGATGGCCACTGACCACATATCCGCAGTTCTCATCAGGTGATGTGTGCTCATCAAGCCTAGACAGACTTGAGAGGCAGGCACTGTTGGCACCCTCACAAGTGATGGAAGCCAGGAAGCCAAGCACCTGCGGGGTGGCACTGGCTAGAGGCCAACATGGGACTCCAACCCAGGCATCTTTCCTGGGTTGGAAGTAGATGCACTACTTCTAGCATGTGCTTACAGACTAACCCACCTGTAGCCTCCTGTCCGCCTTCTTCCAGTTGTCATCCTTCCTCTTGTCCCAGGGAGTTAGTGTTAGCTAAGTACAAGGCTACCTGGCCAGAGCCCACACTGCCAACTGCAAGGGCTGGCCTACAGCATGTGCAAGTGACAGCCCATAGTCCATCTGTCCATCTGAAGCTACAGCCTAGGGATGACAGCCACTTACCAGGCCTGTCCTCTGGTGCAATCAGGTTAGTGAGTATGTGACCTGTTCCTTAAGAGTCATGAACTTGTTACTCAGCCAAGGTGGCTGACACACCTAGTATCTCTCCACTCTATCAGAGAAGTCATGTGGCCCAAATCTACCCTGACTACCCCCATTGAGTCATTCCCATGGAGCAACAAAGGCAGTACTTCCAGGCCCTCCCTGGGGACCAGAGCAGCAGGGTGCCTCTCTGGGAAACACTGCCCACAGTACGCCACCTATCTAGCTCTGGAAGCCTAGAACATAGCCTTCAAAGCATGGTCCTGGGTGAGAGCAGACAGGCATGACCTGCCGAGCCAGCTGAGCATTGGTGTTAACAGCCTCCAAAGGCCCAAGGGAGGGGGTTCCACTGTGGGCAGGGGCCTCGCAGGGGAAGGATGCATCTGGGAGGGGGCAAAGATGGGGCAGAACCAAAGAAAAGGTGGGAGCACCAGGTCCAACCAACACAGGCCGGAGGCTGCAGGGCATCCGTGGCTGGAAGCAGGCCACCCTCTGTCCTGTAGAGGCAGGCTCTACAAATATAACACTTTATTTACAGAGTTTCTCCAGTCTCTGGTCCCTGTCTCCCCCATCTCGACCTCAGGGAGAAGAGGGCTGACAATAGGGAAGCCGAGAGAGGTTGTTCCAGCCAAGAGGTGGCCTGGACAGGCATGAGTCCTGAGCGGCCAGGCCAGGCAGAGAGCTAAGGCACGAGGCCCTGGGCACCCCATCCCAGGGCAGAGGCCAGGCCCACCAGGAAAGGCAGCATGAGGTCAGCTCTCAAGGGTCAGCTCCTGGGAGTCAGGCCAAGGTCTGCACCACTGCAGCTCTGCTCATAAGAAGGTGGGGCCTCTGTGGGGAGAGAGTTGTGTCTGCAAGGGGCTGTGGCATCTCCTCCCCAACCTCCATCCCTGGCCTTCCCACTCACCATAGGGGTAGCCCCAAGAACTGTACTCCGGGGGAAGGATCAAGGCGCTGGTGGTGGGCACTGGGCCCCCAAAGCCCTCTGCAAAGTAGGGGACAGTGGCACCTGTAGAGATGCACAAGGGAGGGTGCAGAGAGTGGGGAGCAGGACTGCCATCATGAGCACAGGGCTCAGGGGCGACAGGCACAGAACACAAGACAGCAGGTGGTGGCTGCTGCTGTGAGTGGCTCTTGGTGGAGAGGGAGACCAGGTCCGAGAAGTGGGGGCCGCCAGCCACAACCTCAGCTTCCTCCTGGGGTGGTGCGGAAGGCACCACTTGGGGTGAGGGTCCAGCAGGTGGCTCCAAGCCTGGCCCAGGGCTCAGGGGAGCATGGTTCACAGCAATATTGCCAACAAAGATGGGGAGGGTCACGGTGGCTTCAGGCACCTTCATAGAGACCTGGGGAGGATGGGGGTGGTGAGGGGCCAGGGTCAAGGCCACCCAGCCTCAGGCCACCCCACCCTCAGCAGCACCAAACCTGCAGGTAATAGTCAATGTGGATAAGGCTGCAGCCCGGCAAGGCTGACTGTGGCAGGGCAGGCACCAAGATCTGCTCTTGCCACTGCGCACGCCTCCAGGCCTTGACACCAGCACCCTCCACCTCCGCAATGGTCCGCACGTCGTAGATCCAGCGCTTGGCCTTATAAGACACTTTCTGGGGAAAAAAACAGCTTATGAGCCTGGGAAGGCTGGCAACCAACCCGTCCCTCCACCTGTACCACGGGGATAGGCCTGAGTAGCCACAGCTCACTGACCTGCAGCAGACTGGCCACCACAGGGCTGGTGTCCTTGCCCGACTGGTTCTCTATCTCAGCCTGCAGCCGTAGCACCTGCCCCACCACATAGCCTCGGAGATCGGTGCTGGCCGTGAGGACCACACTGCCTGTCTTCACCAACTTGTAGGAGAACTTCTTGGTGGCAGAGGCCACGTTAGGTTGCTAGACAGAAAGGGAAGTGGGGCGCAGGTGAATGTGAACAGAATTCCCGCAGCACTGGGACAAGCCCTCTCAATCCTGCCCCAGGTACCAGTGATCAGCTCAATACAAAGGCTGCTACACCCAAACCCTCAGTTCTGCCCCGCACGATGGACAGATGGGGACCACCAAGGAGGTCACTGTTCCATCCTCACCTCAATGTCTGGGATGCTGTTCAGGTTCAGAGGGCTCAAGATATAGAATACAAGGCTGCACTTGTGATCCTTGGAGAAACGTGCCGTGTCGATGGCAGCCCTCACCTGGTGCACAATCCTGCCAAAAGGACCCTCAAAGGACGTGGGTGCTGTGGCTAGGGAGAGAGCAGGAACTGGCATCTGGCAACTCCACCTATGGGGCCTACCCTCCCAGGCCATTGTCCCTAGCAGCCATTCAAGCTGGGCTCTCACCAGGAAGCAGGAACTGGAAGGGGAAGCTGTGCTCTCCAGCGGGCAGGCTCCCTGCAGAGACAGGAGGGAGGTGGGGGCCAGCCTCGGGAGGCCCATGGGGCAGCCACAGTGCCAGGACAGCAGTGGCCCTGCAGCTGCCCAGCCCACACKGGTCTCCCCATCCATCTCAGCACAGCAGCATAGCCCTGGCCTGAGCAAAAGGCTGCAGGTGAGAACTTGGCTTGAATGGGGAGGTGGGGCACACAGGGGAATAAAATGGCTACAAGAAGGTCAGAGCCCACCCAGATCTAGCACCAAAGAAGGGTGCCCCCTTCAGCCACCCAGACACTCTGAGGCAATGCCACAGTGCCTGCAGGGGAAAGTAGCCCACCAGGGCACACAGCCATGGGGAAGTAGCACAGGGTTCCAAGAGACAGATGTGGAGAGGCCAGACAGGCCAACTCCAGACAAGGGCTGCCCTCGGGGTCACCACTTGGATGCTATAAGGGACTGGCTCACAGACTCACCCTTGTCAGCCAATGACAGGGAGCTGTTGAAGTAGCTTTCTTCCACCACCCATCCTGCATCATTAGCCTTGTTGGAGACCCCACAGGAACCCAGGCAGGTCACACGGATTGCTGCAAGGGGAGGAAAGCATGAGTCCCAGCCAGCCTGGCAGCACCCTAGCCAGACAGGAAGCCCCTGCCTTTCCAAGAACACCCTAGCCATCCCTGATCTTAGAGTGCTTTCCAGGAAGCCAGGCTGGCAAAGGAACTGAGTTTCATCTGTCCTGGCATTCAGGGGATGGCTCATCCTAATTCCTGTAGTAACCCCCAAAATGGTAACCTTGGCCCCCCACCAGACCTGTGAAAACAGCCCCTATAAGGGATTCTTGGGACACCCCACTGCTGCAAGTCAGTTAGGCAGGAAGGCACCCCTTCATGCTCCAGGAAGCTAACTGCCAACCCTCCTGCTGCAGGAATGTGGTCAGACCTGCCTGAGCAGGTCCACAGTCTGCCACCCCAAAGGGTGGGGCCCCTGACTTCCTGGGCAGCACTGCCCAGGAGGCTGATTTAGCGGGAGTGCCCCATCCATCAGGACCCACTGAAGGCCAAACTCCGATTCCTCAATCCAACATGTCCAGAGCCTGTGGATAGGCAGCCATGGCTGGAAAATCAGACCAGCCAAGGCTGGGCACAGGGAGAATCAACCCAACAGAACCACAGCACAACAGAGGCCCAGGCAAGGATTCGGTGGGAGTCAGTGACAAGCACCCTGCAGTTCCACCCAACCCTTCTCCCTTCAGGGTCAGATCAAGGTTTCTGCTCCTTTCCTTGTGCTTCTCCCAGACTTGATGGGGCCGTGTGAGGGGAAGATTGCTCAGACCCTGATGCCTTTCTAATGAAACCACCAGGTAGGAGGAACACTTAGTGTCCAAGTGCCAGAGTTAGCCACACCTGGGGTCTGCCTAGGCAAGCCACACCCTGTGGCCCAGGCCTCCTGTTGATCACCCTCAGAACCCCTCCTGCAAACCCTGGCTCATCCTCAGCCCCAAGTGGCTCTCCACATATATACCCCTCTTCCCTTTGACTGATGTCAGGCCTCTGTCCCCGACCCCTGTACCACCCTTTTCTCCTCAGCCTCCATGCCAGGCTAGCCTATCACACTAATCTCAGCCCTGATTTGGAATCTATGCCAGCCTGAGAAACACCAGGGTGAAAGCAGGCCTAGAAAAGTTATCCAGGGGGCTAGAGATGCTGTGTGCTTGGACACACCCTCTTGAACAGAGCATGTTCCTCCTGGTTCCTGCAGGTGAATCCTGCAGATGCCCAAACCAACCAAGAATGCTAGAAGGGGAAGGAGGTGCTTCCAGTTCTTCCAGTCGGCAACAGAATTGAAGACAAAACTGAAGACATGCACTGCCCACCACTGCCCAAATTCCTAACCCTCAACTCAAACATCAAAACGATTGTTTGAGCTATTTAGCTTAGGGTGATTTATTATTTTTTTCACTGCTAGGGAAGGAACTCAGGTCTTGTGCCTGCTAGCCAAGTGTTCTACCACTAAGCTACAACCCCAGCCATTTGGCGTGACTTTTACATAACAGATGCCCCCTCCCCACTACAAATCAGGGAAAGTGTGATTACTTTCAATTTTAACCTGTCAAATTGGCAAATTTTAAGCACTTTGACATGCGTTAGGTAGGAGGTGGAAAACATGATCACATGCAGGCTGAACACACACTACTGGAGGCAGCAATCCAGGCCTCAATGAAACATCAAGGACCCAGCCTAAACCCCCTTGGAGTGTGGGACATGGAGCCACATGAGCCCAGAAAAACAAACAGCATCCAATCCAGGGAACCCGGGCTCTGTGATCTTCCCAACACGTTAAAGATTCTGTGGAGGACCCGGCCTGCCCACTCTCTCAGCAGGATGGTGGGACACAGCTGGCACACAGTACTTCTACTTCCTCACCAAAAGCCTGGAGCTGTTCCTCTGCTGGTCAGCAGAGTTTCAGGTCAGGCTGGGAGTTCCCCAGAGAGCCAGTTTTCACTGGTCAAGACCAGAGGCAGAGAGAGGTTGGGTTTTTGCCTTCTCAAATTTCTGGATCAGGCAGGATCTCAGGATGCAATTCTTTTTTTTTTTTTTTGGTGGTGCTGGGAATTGAACTCAGGGTCTTGTGCATGTGAAGCAAGCACTCTACCAACTGAGCTATATCCCCAGCCCCTCAGTTGCAGTTCTGCCCAAAGAGAAGTGAGGGGAGACCACAGGGCACATTGGAAAGGGTCTCCTTGCTGCTGGAGAGGCACTGGACACAGCACACACTTCTTTCTGAGTGCAGACTCTCATGATGGCAGTACAGGGGCAGTCACCTAGTCACCCTGTTTCCTCCACTTTCAAACTTTAATGTTGGAGCTGCTTTTTGGTGGTGACCCTGAAGCCCCATTCCTCCTCCCCGATGTGGGGCTACCTGCTCCTGGCAGTAAGTGAGGTGCTCACACCAGCAAGTGCCTATCATAAGGTCATGGGATGGGGGCAGGGGTGTACTTGCAAGGCATCCACCCCAAAGTGAGGCCTGTGAGCCAAGCACTCAGGTGTAAATGCTTCCAAACTGTTGCACGAGGCATAGCAAAACACAAGGCACCAACCCAGCAGAGTCAGCCTTGGTTGGAACAGGTTGCTCACAGGAACTTCAGGACCTTTCTCCTCACACCAGTGTGTCCACCTGCCTAGCACCCCCCTCCCTTGCATCCAGCCCTCTGACTTTGAAGACCTCCACTCACTGCTGTCCTGGTCCCAAAGTTCTCAAAACCTGTCCCAACCCCAATGGCTCCCAAAAATGGAGGCAGCCCAGCCTCTGTCACACTCTCTCACTAAGTCTTACCTGTCCTGCTTCCTAACTGTATCATGAGAATAACCAGAATGGCCTCCTCCAGAGTGCATGAAGCTGACCAATGGAGAATGGGGAGACATGCCTCTGACCCACAATGAGAGGTCAAGGAGAGGAAGGAGAGTACAAGGCCACCCTACTTGGCCCCACCTCAGGCTTCAGAAAATTGCTCCTTCCTGGATTCCCTTCCCCATCAGCTTTTAGGCAGTTGTGTCCTCATGGCTGGGTGCTGACCATTACTGCTACTCATTGGGCAAGTGTTCAATGAGCAAATCCGGGAACCTTGGGGCAGGTCTGCCACCCACACGGGGAGTGAAGGGTCTCCCTGTAGCACCTACTGGACCTAGCAGAAACTTTAAAGAACGATGGTCCTTCCTGTTCCATTCCAGGCAGGGATCAAGGAAAACCTAGTGGCACCCTGGCAAATTCACCCCCATCAATATGAATAATCCAACCTCTTGCCCCAGCTCATATCTCCACTTTTGGCACATTTTATAGTCAGGACCAAGTGCTGGGGCTCCTTTGGCCTCTATAGGGTCAGCTCTCCATTTATCCACCCTCTACCTACCACAAGGAGGCCAGGGACTTAGGAAGCCAGGGGCTTGGCCCATTCTGTCACTGTGGTGAGCAATGACCTGCTCAACCTAAGCCCATCCAGGGAGGGAATGAAGATGGACAATCCAGGTGGTGAACTCTACACAAGACCTCTCTCCTGACTGTGGGTTCCTCCTAGCCCAGGAGCACATAGCCTTGAGTCTCACCTGTCTTTTGTGCCCAAGGAGAACTGCCCTGTAGCTGCTGTATCCCCTCTGATGGTCACACCTGCCCCCACCCAAATCACAAACTCCAAGTAGGGACACAGGAGAGGAGGCAACAAAGTCATCACCAGGAAACCCAATAAGCCCAGAGCCTGAGGGAAGCACCTACAACTCAGCTTCCTCTTAGACCTAGCAACTCAGAAGGTCAGGTGTCAGAAAGCCATCACCCAGCCCAAGACCACTGAGGGGAGGATGACAGCTCTCTGTCCTCACCAGAAGTTCAAGCTGCCAGCAGTGCAGAAGCCAGGGAGGTCAGGTGCAGAGGGAAGTGGCAGCTGTGGTTTTGATGAAGCAGCTGGGTGGTTCTCACAGGAGGCCAACGCAGAGAAACATCCCACAGGGACACCCACACCAACCTCTACTCAGAGCTGGGGGTCAGGCAATGACCACCATGCTGCCCAGCACACCCTGAGGGCTCAGCCATCAAGTCCCTCTCCGAGCCCTGTCCCCAGGAAGCAGCAATATGACTACTACTGAGCACAGGAGCCCCATACCTGCAGAGTGTCCTATCAATGCCACCGTGGAACCCGATCCCAGGCCCCAAAGTCCCAGATGCCTGCATCTGCAGAGGCTCGGGCTAGCTCCAAGAAGCTGGCTGGGCTAGGGTGAAGGGATACCAGGATGAGCCAATACATACTGCCCCTAAGGACAAACCTTGGGCAGACTGTAAGAAGGTGCCCAGTGGACTCTGCTGGGGATCCGCACTTGAGCAGCGCACTGACGCTCGCGGGGCTGCAGCTCTTAAGAGGAAGAGCCTGCCCACTATGCCTGGTGGCCTAAGAGAGGGGACCCAGAAGGCTAGGTTTCAGATGAGGGCCCAGCAGGTGCGGAGCGCAACTAGATGAGGAAGGTCGGAGTCATGGGTATGTCCACGGTCGCGGTAGCCTTGGCAAGGTGGACAGGTGCTAGGCCCTCACCTGGACTCTGGTTGCCCCTAAGCGGAGAGGACAGGAAGGGGCAGATGCGGAAGGACTGGGCCAACGGGCCTGCCTGCCTGCTCCACCCCAGCCGATGCCGGCCACCCACCAACAACAACGGGCCTGCGGCACCCGAAACCGCGACCCAGCCCTCCCGCAGCCCGCCGGGTCCGCCGAGGACTGCAGACCCAGGCCCCAAAAAGCGTGAACCACCCGCTTCCGGGAGCTCGGGCCGCGGCAGGTGCGGGCGCGGCCACCGCCCTCCCCCGAGGCACCCCGCGCCCACCTCGGAAGGGTAGCTGCGCCCCCAGACGCACGCGCACGGTCCCGGTCAGAGGCTCCCCTGGGCTGTAGACTACGCGGCCGTGGCTCAGTCGGATCTCGAAGAGCTGCACCCGCCCCATGCCGCGGCCTCCTGCGCCGCACACTGACGCCCGCCGGGGCCGCAGCTCCGAGATCCGCCCCGAGGACCCGCCTCGAGTCCGAGGACCGCCCCCAGCCCGCCCCAAGACCAGCCCTGAGCCCGAGGACCCGCCCCGATTAGCTAAGAGGACCAGCTCTCGGCGCGCCCTGAGCCCAGCGATCCTCCCCAGGCCCACGGATCCTCCAAAAGCCCACCCCGAGGATCCGCCCCCGACCCGCTACCACCTCTAGGATCTGCCCTCGAGGACTCACAGCAGAGTGCAGGTACGGTCCCCTCCACGCCTCCAGGAACCGCCTACCGACCCGCCCACAGACCGCACGCCCCTAACCTGTGGGCCAGCCCCCCGCGCCAAGAGGTAAACTGGTTAAGTTTCCTGGGGACGCTTGTGCTGAGCAAGCCACGAGTGCGCGGAGGTCCTGAAGGCAGATGCTAAGCGGTGAGGTCCAGGGGCAGCGAGTGCCCCTGGAGAGGGGACCAGGCTACCAGAATCAAGGCTGGGGCCGCCTGGCAGAGGTGCAGATTACTGTAAAATCAGGAGGAATATATTAGGATTCATCTTTTTTAAAAGGTCCCCCTCCTTGCAGATCTCGGTAGCGCACACCTGTAATCCCAGCAAGTCAGGAGGCTGAGGCAGGAGAATGACAAGTCCGAATCCAGCATCAGCAACTTAGAGAGATTTAGAGAGACCCCAACTCAAATTTTTAAAAAATAATAAAATAAAAAGGACTGGGGCAGGGCGCGGTGGCACACGCCTGTGATCCCAGTGGTTGGGGAGGCTGAGGCAGGGAGTTCAAAGCTAGCTCCAGCAAAAGCTGGCGCTAAGCAACTCAATGAGACCCTGTCTCTAAATGAAATACAAAATAGGGCTGGGGATATGGCTCAGTGGTCGAGTACCCTTGAGTTCATTCCCGGGGAAGGAAGGAAGGAAGGAAGGAAGGAAGGAAGGAAGGAAGGAAGGAAGGAAGGACTGGGGATGTATCTCAGTGGTATAGTGCCCTGGGGTTCAATCCCCAGTACAAAAAAAAAAAAAAAAAGTCCCTTTGCAGAGAGTGAACTGGGAGGTGGGGAGACATTCAAATGCATATATCCCCAACATTCCAATGTTTGCTTTTACCATGATGCAAAAGCCAACCTATGCAACCCTTGCTCTTCACTTTCTGAACAATACTGAATAAATTACATGATATTCAACACTTTATTACAAAAGGTTGTTATGTTGCACAACTATCCCACCTGTAGGCTGTGAGTGTTCTCAGCACTGTCAAGGTCAGCTGTGATGGTCAGTAGTTCAAGAGTATTAAATGCCCTTCTCAACTTAGGATATTTCCACTTTTTATTTTATGATGGCTTTATCAGGAGTTACCCTGTCATAAATGAAGGAGCACTTGTACCAGGGGCAAATCAAACTCACATGCACAGTCTAGGGGAAAGGGCTACAAAACCCAGAGAAGCCAGGGAGTATCTAACATTGAGAGGAGGGGAGTCACAGTTGCCAGACAGCTGGCAAAAAGGAGGCATTTTTTCCAATGGAGAAGATCCGTACATCTCTTAGGAACAGGAGTCATGACATTCTGAGTCTCAGGTGTTCTGGGCACCCAACTTCCAGGCATAAGTCTGGGGAGTCAAAGGGCTAAATATTTGGTAACTGGTGTACAGATGGCAATTGATGTCTAAGGTGTTTGGGTCAAGAGTTCAGGACACAACCCAGATGCTAGTCTTGCTGTATCCAGCAAAAGGAGGAGGGACTCAGGACCCCTGGGGTAGTCCTAGGCCTGGGTGATATTTCCCCACAAGACTCCTTAGTATCCCATGTTCCAGAGGATGGGTCACTCCACATCTTCCTGCCAGGATGGTGCAAATGGGGGAATTCCTGAACAAGGAGTCTAGGGTGCCAATAGGAAGGGGGATGATGACAGGCAGCACCCAAATGCCAAACCAACACAAGTCAAAAGGAATGTGTTTCAGGAGGGAGAGGACAGTTGTGCTGAATGTTGTTGGGTAGAACACAGGTCTGAGGACCTAATTTTTCTGACAGCAAGTTGAAAGGGCCAGTCAGCTTCCTTCAGTTATTTATGGTAAAGTGAAAATAAGAATAGAGAGAAGGACTGTAAGCAGGAACTGCTCTGCTTTCAAGCCAAACAGAAATATTTAGAGAATATATTTCAACACAAGTTTTGCTGAGTTGGAAAACAAAATGCTTTCTCACTTCCAGCCTCTCCAGGTAGCAAGTTTCCCAAAAGAAAGGGCATTAGGAAGGAGATGATACTCAAAGATATTACCTGCAAGACACACCCTCAGGGTCACCAGCTCTTCCAGATGCTTCATAAGACCTCTAGTTAAGGTCTCTGAGAGGTTTCAGGCAGGGGCACTGTCCAATAGATCTGACTTGAAGCCCACAGTAAGAGAATTTGTGGCACAGCTTGTGTCTAGTGAGGTGAGTTACAATTTTATGTGTGGAACATTCATACATTTTTTAAAAATTTATTCATTTTGTGGCCCTGGGGGTTGAGCCCTGGAGTATTCTACTACTGGCACACCCCAGCCCTTTGTGTTTTGAGGCAGTTTTGGTAAGTTACACAAGCTATTCCTCAAACTTTTGATCCTCCTGCCTCAGCCTCACAAGTCTCTGAGATCACAGGGCAGGCCACCATAGCCAGCACACAAACTTTTTAAAAATATAGTATCTGTTTGAACTAAAAGATGCAGTGTCCAAAATATAGGAAACAGTTGGGCCCCCAACTTTCTATAAGCAAGAACCAGGCTTGAGGAAGCAACTTAGCTGCAAACAGGAGCCATTTCCGACAGAAAAGGAAAGGTGACTCAGTGTGGAGCCAGGAGTGGGGGTGGGTGGGGCAAGAGCTGCTGAAGCAGTGGGAGCATGCACAAGGCGCTGGCTCCATCCCCAGCACTGGAAACAAAACAAACTGCTGAAGCAGGAGACCAGGGGATTCTTGCAAGGGGCAGGCCAAGCCTGCAGGAACAGTGCCTGCCCTGGAGCTGAGGGGCTGGTGGTATCTAGCTGGGTTTCAACACTGCTATGTACCAGTGATTCTGGGTACTCACCTCCTGTTTGAATGGGGGTGTCCACAGCAGTGCTCCTGTTTCAACACTGAATGTTGGGTGTGGAGGGCAGACAACCAGTCCGATACTTTACAGGTCTATAGAGCAAAAGAAGCCACAACCAACATGCCTTCTCCACACCTGGACCTGTTACAGACCACAGGATTCTGGGCTTCTAGCCTAACTCCTGGATGAGATGGCAATTTTGAAGGGACTCAAGTGTCACTGTCATATAGAATGGCATGAATTGTGGGGCCAGAGGTTGTGTAGTGGCAGGCAGTTACACTGGCAGCCCCTGCATGAGTGCCCACTAGGTAAGAAAACACCTGAGTAACCTGAAAAGAGGAAAGATTTATTCTGGCTCTCAGCTTGGGAGATTTCAGCCCAGGTCTCTGGTCTGTGGTGAGGCAGCACATCAAGGCAGCATGTGATAAAAGGAGCTGCTGGTCTTATGGCCAGGAAGCAAAGAAAAAAAAAAAAAGAAGAGGGGCCAAGGCCCCAACATCCCCTGCAAGGACATTCCTTCTTAGGAGCAGGAGACCTCCCACTAGGCCCCACCTCTTAGAGGTGACACACCTCCAGTGGAACCAGAGCCTGGCAGCCAAGCCTTCCACACAAGCCTCCAGCACCCTCATCCATACCACAGCACTGTCCTCAAGTCCTGTGTCATCTTTCCTGCACCGCCTGGCTCACCCATGTGACTTGCTTTGTCAGTGGGGTGCTAGAAGAGCAGGACTCTGCCCAGGCTCAGCAGCCCCTGTGCACACAGGAGTCCTGGCAATCTGGCCAGACCACAAGGGGAACCACCACCACCACCCCACCCCACCCCATGGGAATGAAAAAAACAGTGAGGTGCTGCAGTTGAATTCCCAGCCAATGCAACCCACTGAGGGGCCCAGCCAACACCATGTGAGGCAGAAGATCTCCAGTCCATTCACAAAACTGTGAGAAATGACAAATCTGTGTTTACTTAGGCAGTTACATTCTGGGGGAGTCTGTTGCACATCAGTAGGTAACTGAAGCATGTGGTGGTCAGCAGCAACAGCAGCAGTCCCTCCACAATCTCAAGTCCAGTCCTCCTGGGGTCTGAGTCCCCCACTTCCTCTCCTTCTAACCCTCCCTCCAGTGCCAACAATCTTTTGGACCACCACTGTGGCCTCCGAACTACTGATGACACCCTTCTGGTGTCTTTTAGCTCTGGTGCCAAGGACAAGCCTTACAGCCACTCCTACTCCTCCAGCCTCTTCCCCTCTTGCTTCCGGAGCTCACCTAGAGTGAGCACAGTCCTGTCCAATCCAACCTCTCCTTACCTTCTCAGAGGCAGCCTACAGACTGGACTGGTGACTGGTTTCCATTCCCACATTCCTGCTGACCCCCCTGCTGTGCTTTCTGCCCCTCAGGCGCCTGCCACAAGTGGGTGTGCCACTCCTGACCCTCTCTGCTAGAAGGGCCAGTCCTTCTTTCACACTCACTTCCTACCAGTGATTTCTACTGCACTAAGAAAGCAGCCGCTTCTCATCAGAGAACTCCCCCAAGCCCCACATACACTGCCTTTCCAGAGCCTGGCCATCAGATTCCCCTCACTGACAAGAACCAGACATGCACTCCTGTAGAAGTAACTCTCCATCCTCCCTTTCTCTGCCCATCTCCCATCCTTTCCTTTATAACTTGTTCTCCTTCTCTAAGGAGAACTTGCTTTCCTAGCACCCCACTGGCAAAGCAAGTCACTTGTTCGTTCCCACCAATAAACAGACATGCATGCTAACTCCCACTACACAAATCTCTCCTTTTATTTATTTCTCCTCTCTCTCTCTCTCTCTCTCTCTCTCTCTCCAAGGATTGAGCCCAGAGGCTCAACCACTTAGCCACATCCCAAGCCCTTTTTATTTTTTATTTTGAGACACAGTCTTGCTAAATTGCTTAGGACTCCATCAGTTGCTGAGGCTGGCTTTGAACTCGCGATCTCACGATCCTTCTCCTTCAGGCTCA